GTTTCTGTGTATCGCGACATGTACGGCATCTTTGAGAATCATGTATTAAAAGCTTAAAGGATTAATCTCCGTGTAACTAACTGACGCTCCGTACGTAATAAACTAATCACTCTAGGAAAGTAGTAATAAATTATGCGTTCGGTGTGTATCACTCTAGGATCGTTTAAACGTTACGGACTGCCTGGGGTGTGTTAGATACTGCACGTACACGAAAAAAAAGCAGGTGTTGGTGTGAATGTTGTCAGCGTTTTCAAAAGCCTCCGTTTTCGCTATCCACATTAATACTGTATGGCTCCGTTTTCAATTGTATACGTTTTCTCATGGTATTCGTTTTCGATGAAAGCGCTCATCGTTCTTGATTGTTGTAGTGTGGAAGGGCAAAACGGATCGAAAAGTATCCGTTTTCAAACAAAAACGAATTAGTTTGTATGTAGCCTAAGAAAACTTTAAAACACCGTGTGAAAACGAAAGAAAATAACTGTTTTTCGTTGGAGTAAAAGAGGAAATTAGAAGTATGTTGTAATGTTTTATTATGCTGTTTACTTTTGGCCATCCTTTGCCGGCATTATATTGACTTTATACTCTTCTTGTAAATCTTTTTCACACGGTGTTAAGCTTCATTCTCATTCACTTCCTTAAAGGATTAAAGGCAAATCACATGAAGCTGTCGGTACTCTTCCTAGAACAAGCCACACAACAATAGAAGTCATGTTCAAAAAAGAACGGCTTGTCATAGGGGCTTGTCATAATTTGAATCCGAATTTTTATTTATTCGGTTAGGCCTACTACAAACTAGTCCGGGTGTCCGATTCAAATTTATCGGGCATAGTGTGGACGGGGCCATAGTTACGTATCGATGTGTCATCATCACGCGATCGAAAACCTCAACTGAAAGGCTTAATCTAGAAGTCATTGTTATTTAAATATCTTGTTATTAAGATTAAACACAGTTGGCCTTGGTCCTTGTGTATCTAATAACAACTACTAAAGGCAATGTAAACACAGGGCAGCTTCGCTCACGAAAGGATATTTGACTGTGAGAGGGAGGGGTTGCGTTAAGACGTAACAAAGAATGTATTTTAAATAGTCGTGAAATATGTGTTGCTTAACTTTGATTTCCTTGATTCATTTATTCATTTCTCATTTATTTCAAAAATAATTATACAAGGATGTCTCATTTAGCAGAGCTAGTTTAAAGAGAGCCCTATTAACACCAAAAAAGGAGTACTATCCATAAGCACATAATTCAATTATTATTATAGTAATAATGATATAGATAACGATTTAATTTGTCGTTAAGTGCTTAATGATATTACGTTTGCATTCTTTTTTAACTTTTCTAGGCTCTTTGATCGATCTATTATCAAGGAGTAAGGTATTAAAAGTACGCACCCCGTTATATTTAAAGCTTCCTTGGTACTTAGTAGTCTTATCAAGGGGCAGAAAAAGTCGCGGTGCGCCTAGTATTATAATGGTGAAATTCACTGGCTTGTCGAGATTCCGTTAAGAGGTAAGGTGGTGCTAGGCCGTTCGTGACTTTGAAGACTTGCATACATTTGAAATAATCTCGTCAAGACTGCAAATTTGGCCAGCCAAGAACAGATGCAATTTCAGATGTATCAACGGCCCTGTTTAGAATAATGCATGCTGCGGGCCTGTTTAAGGTTCGTCTTAGGCATAGTCCCACAGCTATTCCACACACTTGCACAATAATCAAATCATGGCTTTACAACACTGCAAGACGATCGATCTTGGTAATACTTTGTGTGCCCCACGTATATAGCAGAACCCAAAGGTTCAAGGGAAAGGACAAGGGAAAGACTTTTCCTAAACCCCAACGAGTATAATAATGGGAATAACATCCATTATTGATTTTTCAAAGTTTTTCGTAATTATCCTAGGAATCTCTGTAAATATTTGTATAGTTTTGCCCGTGCAAGCCATTCTTCATAGACGTCATCATCAAGTCATCTTCAATCTGGGTTTGTTCCGGGGACGCTTTGATATTTTGGGGGTTGATACATGGTCAGTTTGTAATGCTCAAAAGTCGGTTTTTCAAACATTTACGTATCTTAGCAACGGCGGAAATTGGTGGCCATGTACTATTAAACATGAAGGATTTCTGGGTCACTTTTTCATCAAATTGAGGAAGATAAGTTCGTCAGTGAACAATGGCCCTAATTTTGAAAAAGTTACCGCTACCTGAGTTACATTTTTCTTCCAAAGTTATACCAAGAAATGTTTTTGGTACTCGTTCAGTTTTGGGTGTTTTGCACTCTTCTGGCTTCCTGTAATTACCATATTTACTAAATAAACAACAATCAGAAGAGTCAGCGACCGGGCGACCAATCAAAATGACTTTCTAATTTCGAGAGTTATGTAGACCTACACACGCAATATTTGACTGAGCAAACGAAGCGAAAAGAGCAGAAGGTGATGCAGTCTTTTCTGTAGCAGTTATCAAAACCATGAGCTCTTCTTGTAGAACCGCAATGATTGTGTCCATAATTTGTGTTGTTTTGATAAAAAGTGGACTAGGCGTCACTGCCAGGACAAGCACTGTGATAGCTTATTCATCATTTGCAAACGCACCCAGGCCAAACATTACGATGAATATCTCGCCAAGCTCACCCAGTCCAACCATTACGATGACTAGGATTTCACCAAGCTCACCCAGTCCAACCATTACGATGACTAGGATTTCACCAAGCTCACCNCCAAGCTCACCCAGTCCAACCATTACGATGACTAGGATTTCACCAAGCTCACCCAGTCCAACCATTACGATGACTAGGATTTCACCAAGCTCACCCAGTCCAACCAAATACGATACTCATACGATGGGAATCAGTCCAACACGCACTAGTGTAGTAACAGCTACGACCAGTGTTCTACCGGTAAATATATATTTCCCATTTGTATTGATACAATTTATATGCTATCAAAGATGTGTGTTCGGCTGCACAGTGCTAATAGCTACGACAGTAAATTAAATTGAATATGGTTTAACTCTAATTTCCGTAAGAAGAAAAATTCAAATCTGTGACCCCTTCGAAAGGTGTTGGCAACCGACATGGGCCTGTGTTAAGCCAAACTTCATAATTACTCTGGTTCAAATTGTATTAAAATCTCTTAAAGTCAGACTGCTCGCAAGCTATATCAACCGACGCCTTTATAATTTTAAAAATCTTATTCCATTAAAAGTTTTAGTCTATAATACCCATTGAATGATACGCGACACAATGTTACACCCCGAAAATATAATTTTCTGTAGCATCTTTTATTTTCTCAAGAAAGTGTTTACCCTGTGTTAAGAGAATGGTAGAGAGTGTTGCATGGGCGGGCGACCAAGTTTGATGAGGTTTAAAATAGGGTGCACATTCCTGTGAAACCGACGTCAGTTTTATCTCGCAGAGATTTTAGTTTCAGCAGAAAGTAGTTTAAGAATTATGATAAAAATTTGCTCGATGAAATATAATTTACATCTTTAATAACTTTCCAAGCAACGAAAACATTTGAATATTCTTATTTATCTGCCTCTTGACATGGAGATTTTTTCCCGATTGAGTATTTTCAACATATTCTGAAGGATTTTTTAGTTTGCAAACTGACGTTTCACGTTCAGGCGTAAGCGAGATGTTTACATAACTTTTGTATTTATTAACAATTAGTAAAGTCAAATGCAAACACRGGATATATGATCTCTGGGGAAGGAATGAGGAAAGGATAATAAACTAAACTAATGTGTAATCAAGGATATCTCTTGCCTGCGTTCATAGCGCTCCATTAACTATACGCTCTGCTCAACTTTGATTTTCTTGATTTCTGAACCCCTACGGATAGTTTTGGGAGTATTCTAATGACAATCCCGTTTGATTTGTCATAACTTCAGCTTGTGTAGTTATCTTTGGAATCTCTGTAAATATTTGTAGTTTTGCCCGTGCAAGTGATCTCTCATAGATACTTGAGATATTAAAATCGTCATCCATCTCTGGGTTTGTTCAGGGATGCTTACTTTGGGGTTTGATAGATGGACAGTTTGTAATGTTCAAAGGTCGGTTTTTGCAAATATTCACAGCAACTTTGATCTACATTCTTGTGCTTGAAGCTTCACGGCGCATGCGTCGTAAGGTGACTTACTTTGTCGGGTTTCTTTCATGAGAATAGAATGGCGTTGAAAGTAAAACTGAAAAAAATGGTCTTGTAATTGTCGCACAACAGGCTTGATAATAATAAATGATAATAATAATAA